GGAATTTACTCTTTGCTAACTTTTTGAGCTGAACCTTTCACGTAAATAAATACGTTCTCGAATGCACTAGTAACCTGTTGCGCACTACTTCCCATTTCTGCTTGTTTATGCTTTACCTGAGCGATGTCAGTCGACAAAGCCTCTGATTCACGGCGCACATGACACGATAGCCAGCACGAGTGTAGTCGCCACGTATGTTCCAACTGAGAGAATTGAAATGAGGAAACTGCCAGCAAAATAATACAGCGGCCATCACTAACGAAGCGGAATCGACATAACCGCTAGCGCCAACGTAACCCATCAGCGGCGCGATCGCACCGACAACAGCTCCAACCCACGTACATGCCATGCTATAGCGCTTCATCGGCGTATAAACACCTGAAAGTAGGCTAATATTTCTACTTGCAAACCAGGCTTGGCAAGTGAATTCCCCAGACAAATTAAGTGGCGAGAGAGCAATCTCGAAGACGAATTCGACCCAGAACACCAGATCGGACACGGCCAGTTACAACTTACAAATTATGCAAGAATACATGAGCCCATGAGCTATCGCCTCGCTCACACGCGAACTGAGCAAGCCAGGAGCACCGCAATCCAACCTCTTCGCTAATAAAATCAAAACCCACGCGCTACTTTATTATGCGTTTTGTGCTGGGTAACAGTAGTACAAAACGCATATCGTCATGTGTTTGTGTGTGTGTGTGTGTGTGTGTGTGTGTGTGTGCTCGTGTCCGAGTGCGTTTCGTCCCGTATTTTTAACTCGTGAACCACGGAAGCTAGGATGCTGAAATTTTGGCACAATATTCCCAGCCCATGTGTGACCCCGCAAACTTAAACTCGATCTTCATTTACCCGCGCAGACCACGTACGACCCCATCAAAACTTTGGTGACCCCACAAAGTTTTGGTGGGGGAATTACTATCTTGGGAACCACGAAAGCTGGGACACTGAAATTTTGGTAGATTGTTCCCCACCGATGCGTAACCCTGAAAACTCAAATTCGGCCTTCACTCACCCGCGAGTACCATGTACGATCCCGCGATAGCTTTGAAGGGGAAAATTATCTTGAAAACCACAAAAGCTGGGGTACTCAAATTTTGGAAGAATATTCCCCGCCGAAGTGCGACCCAGTAAACTTAAATTCGGCCCTCACTTACCAGCGAGTACCACGTATGACCCCGCCAAAGTTTTAGTGAGGAAAATTATACCGGGAACCACAAAAGCTAAGAACCTGAAATTTTACGGTAGTGTGCACTACCACATACGACAACTCGCAAATTTAAATCCAGTGTTCCCTCGCCCTCAGATATCACATGCGGTCCCGTAAAAGTTTTGGCGGCAAAATTATCTCAGGAACTATAAAAGCTAAAAAGCTGAAAATTTAAGGTAGTGTGAATTGCCCACATACAACCCCGCAAATTTAAATTTAGCCTTCCCACACACTCGGGTATCACATGCAGTCCCGGGAGTTTTGGCAGAGGGATTATTACCTCGTAAGTCACAAAAGCTAGGGAGCTAAAATTTTACGGTAATGTCTCCAGCCCAGGCACAACTCCAAAACTTCAAATTCATCTTCTCCATAAGTCTGGGTACCGCGTACGTCCCTGTGAAAGTTCTGGTAAGGGAAGTTATTTTGAGAATCACGAAAGCTGGGAAGCCGAAATTTTAGTTCATTGTCCTCTGCCTACATGCGATTCTGCAAATTCAACTTTCACGTACGCTTGGGTCTCAACATCCTTGAGAAAGTTTTGGTGGGAAGAATTATTACTCGGAAGACAGAAGAGGTAGGAGGCTGAAGATTTCAGAAGCATGTTTTCTGCCTAAACAGTGGCCACACAAACTCAAATTTAATTCCCAAGTATACAGAGATCTCATGCACGAATAAATGAAAGTTTCGGTTCGAAAATCACTCAAAAGCCAGAAAATTAGGGGAATGATTTTGGAAGGATGTTTACTGTATAAGGCTTTAATGGGAAATTCCGCAACCTAGGAACTGGACAACATTTCAACTATTTTTGCACAAAACAAAATGCAAAGCAGTGAAAATCCTTAGCAGGCAAACGTTCACTGGACGGAACTGTGCAAAACGCATGATCGCACAGCCACCAAGGTGCGCGCTGCTATTTATTAGCTTTGCGAAACAAAAGCATCCAACAGCAGCTCACATAGCAGGAGCAGCAATATGGCAACAAAGAACACCCATCCGCAATGTAATTAGGTACTGCTTTGAAAAAATCGACCGCGACATGACTCATCCTCTGATATAGCAGCATAAGTTACCATTGAAACGGATCAGAGGATTGAATTTTCCACTGGCGGGTTCAAACCAACAGCCTGTGAGCCTAACAACGGACTTCACGTACTAGGAGAGAAAGCCCGTCAGAAAGGCAACATTTATTTCATCAACTGACCTAATTTATTCTTCGAAAAAAAAAAAGAAACGTACAGAATCACGAACTTCATATCAACTTGAAAGTGCGTGGATCAATGAAAAAAGTGCATTGTTATGGGCTTTCCGCTGTGTAACAGCAGCACAAAACGCATACTGTCACCGGTTGTCTCCGTGTATGCCCGCGATTTTGTCCCGCAACTCGGGAAACACAAAAGCTAGGAAGCTGAAAATTTAGGGGAACATTCCCCGACCATGTATGACCCCGCAAATTCTCTTTCCATGTGCAGCCCCGCCATAAGTGGATCCAGGACGGACTTCCCGGAGGAGCAAGGGGGGGGGGTAGAAGGGAGTGGTGACCGGTGAAGGGGAGAGTGGAGTTCCTGGAGAGGGGGGCAACGAGAGGTGGGGAAGGTGGGCCCCTGGCGAGGAACGACAGGAGATGGGGGGAAGGGGAGCTATGCAAAAACTGCGAATAGAGT